ATTGGATTTATTCAGGAAGGACTCGAGTCTAATAGTAAGAAAATTGGTGTTCTATTTAAAATGAATATTGATCGATCGATTTCATCAGCACCGTTTGCTAGCATTAACAAATATAGTTATTTCAAGAAAGAGAATGAAATTCTATTTTCCATGCATACAGTTTTTCGTGTTCATCAAATCGAAGAAAAGAAACATGATGGGATCAAATTTTGGAGAGTAAAACTTACACTTACTAATGCTAATGATGACCAACAACTGAGTACTCTCATGGAAACTATACGACAAGAGATTACTGGTACAGGATGGCAAAAAATGGGTTTATTGTTATGGAAACTCGGCGAGAATAATAAAGCCGAAGAATTGTACAACATGTTACTCAACGATGCATCAATTGAAAATCATGAATCCTACTGTTATCACTGCCTTGGAATGATTAAGAATGGTCTAGGACAATACAATAAGGCCATCGAATTTTATCAAAAATCTTTAGATATAAAAGAGAAAACTCTCCCTTCGAATCATCCCGAGTTGGCTTCTTCCTACCTCAACATCGGTTCGGCGTATTATAACATGGGCGAGTACTCGAACGCACTTTCATCGTACGAACGATCACTTGAAATCGGGAAAATAGCTCTCCCTCCGAATCATCCTCACTTGGCTTCTTCCTACTGCAACATCGCTTTGGTGTATGATAGCATGGGCGAGTACTCGAAAGCACTTTCATCGCACGAACGATCACTTGAAATCCGAAAAATAGCTCTCCCTCCAAATCATCCCGACTTGGCTTCTTCCTACAACAACATCGGTAATGTGTATTATGACATGGGCGAGTACTCGAAAGCACTTTCATCGTATGAACGAGCACTTGAAATCCAAAAAATAGCTCTCCCTCCGAATCATCCCCACTTGCCTTTCTCTTACATTGGTATCGCTATGGTGTATGACAAAATTGGCGAGTACTCAAAAGCACTTTCATCGTATGAACGATCACTTGACATCCGAAAAATAGCTCTCCCTCCGAATCATCCCGACTTGGCTTCTTCCTACAACAACATCGGTATGGTGTATGACAAAATGGGCGAGTACTCGAAAGCACTTTCATCGTACGAACGATCACTTGACATCAAAAAAATAGCTCTCCCTCCGAATCATCCCCACTTGGCTGCTTCCTACAACAACATCGGTTGGGTGTATGATAACATGGGCGAGTACTCGAAAGCACTTGCATGTTATGAAAAAGCACTTGGAATGTACCAAAAATCGCTTCCACCTGGACATCTTGATATGGTACGAACACAAAATAACATTGCACTTCTGAGAAAGAAAATGTA